GATTTGTGCAGGGAACAATCACAATGTGTTTTTTGAGAAGTCTTTGCCTGTGCAACGCAGAAGGACAGTGCTGTGGCGCTTCCCCTCTCTCCCAGGCCTGTGGCTTGGTCGCCAACCTGTGAGTTCCACATTTTTCTTGCAGCAGTGTACTTGATTGAGTCTCCAGACACGGGCAGAACCAGCTAGATGCGGTGTTCTAGCAAGAAAGTGGGCAGACATCGCTGAGCAAACGCTTTAGGATGAGGACAGGTGCACATGCAGTGATGTGTGAGTGTCAGGATAGAGCGATTGATCTTTTTGAGCCACCATTTATTCAATTGTGCTGTTGCAGGCTGCCACCCTGGAAGAAGGCAGCAGGCAATGAATCATAGTTGGGGGCAAGTTGTTGAGCTACGGGTTCATCTGAAGCTTTGAACCCCTCTGTTGGGGCATCATCTGGCAGGCGCTGTTCTGCCCTGCCACGAGCTCCGCTCTTTAGTTGAAGCCGCGTCCCTTCGATGCCTACTGCTCCTTGAATCAAGGTCCTGTTTTGAACTGGGCTGAGACCTGCTAGAGTAGTGATGAGCATGTTCAGTTCCACAGAGTCCGTATCGGAGTTCATTTTACAAAACACTCAGGTTAGCTGGCTGGGATGGCAAACGCCTTCGCGTTGCAGTTGTCAAGCTTGCAAAGCAGGGCTTGCTGCCTGAACCTGGAGAGCAGGTGGCCGTGCGCAGCACGGCTGCAGTCAGTTTGAGGCAGTAGAGGGTGCACACACGTGCGAATTTAGCACTCCTTGACGCCTCTAGAAGGTAAAGCTTCCTCTACGACGCCAGGAAAGTCAGTATTGTGTATTCTCCATATTGTTCAGTGGTGCCACACAGGCTCGGAGGTGCCACTCGCGTCCAGTGGCTGCATCTCGCCAGATGCTATGCAACTCAGCTCGCATCCCATGGCCTTTGGTGGTTACTCCAGGGAACTGAGATTGGACATGCACGACGACCTGCTCTTTGCTAGCAGGTAGGCCACATGATGACTTTGTAAGGTTTTGCTCTTGCAGAGCCTGTCGAGATGTAGAAGCATGTGCACCTGAGATCTCCAAAGGCATGTGGATGCTTCGGGCCAGCTGTGGCTGGCTGAGGCTGAAGCCTTGGCCGCCTGGCATCTGCCCTCAGGCGGCCGCCACATTCCTACCATGCATGCGTCATGTCCATCACATGTCGTGGAAAGAGCAAGTAACTCATCCGTTCGCCTTGCTCGTTTTTCTGGTTCGATGCACGATATGCCAACACTGCATTTCTGGGCACAAAAACATCCTCGCTTGGTACCCTCGATCATTCGTTTCTTCACTCCACAGGCGTGTGGTACTGGGGTCAAGATCCCATCCTCCGCGAAAAAGAATGCGTTCAGGCACGTTCCTTGGCCGATGGCGCCCTTCATGGCCCGGGCTGAGGTATGGCTCTTAGTGGAATATCGTGGATTCAGGCTTTTACCGTGGAGACGTATCGGGTGGAAAGTGAAAGGCCTTCTGCTCTCTGCACGCATGGTGAACGGCTGCTTGTTGCTGGTGGTACAGGCCTGCTGGGGTTTCCATCAGGTTGAAGTGAGTGCTGCATATGCCATCCTCGCTCTGTGACTCTGATTTGCTGCTGATCTCTTCCTGCAGCCAGGACTCGCGAGATCAGAGACTTTTGGACGGCCTATCTTGCTAAGCTTCAGACCAAATCTGACGGAAAGCCAAAGTGCTCCCAAGCCACTGCAGGCATAGATCCACAAATCAGGCCCGGCATCTGAGGAGAAGTGCAGTTTGTGGCAGAATCGCTTGTTGAGACCCCGGGTCGGATTTTGCCAAGTTTGGCTGTGCAGACAATAAGCTGTTCCACAAGCTGTTATCTTCCGCTCTGATGGTTTCATGCCTGGTGCTTGAATAATGCTGTCTAACCAAGATTTTGCCGAGACAAACAGAGACGGCAGATCGAGCATTGCGAGCACCAGCTTGTCCATAGCACCAGCACCGTGCTCAGCAAGGTGCTTGTTCAAAGATTCTCATCCGCAAGACGCGGCGGTGAAAAGAATCGGAGGCTTTCTTTTTTTGACAGGGAGTTTCTCGTGCCACCAACTTGTAACAGCTGGGATGAGACACCCTCTTTGGAATGCTTTAGGAACTCATTTCGCCGAATACGAGGTTGACAGATTCTGCTCTGCTAGGTCCTCCCGTAAATGAATTAGCATGAACTAGCAACTATGATATTAGTTGCCTGATTCAGTTGCCGTTTCTCACAAGACCCCGCAAAGCTCTCGCAATATCTCATTTGTGCAACGAGGTCTTTTTTGTGATGCAGGCACAAGACTTTGACCACTTTGCCTCGAGGCATTTCCGAACTCAAGCGTTGGGACGGGTGTTGGCGTCAAAACAGCAAAGTGGCAGCATGAAAGCGGGGGCGTGTAGGCTGGGTACCATTGCTCGTTCAGTATAGAGCTAGCTGTGAATTTACTTGCTCAAGTCTTTGAATTGGTCCTCGTGACCGGCACTGTGGAACGGCCGTTCGTGTTCCCGCATGCGTGCCTGGGTTGCCGGCCTGCGCCAGAACAGCCACCTTTGGTGCTCATTCAACGCACCTCAAGACATGATGTGTCCTGCAAGAAACCAGCACCATTGAGGAAAATTGCACGGACATCACGTTCCAAGCTAACAAGCAAAGGGAAGGTCGCAGAGTGTCAGCATGAGCCGCATTTGGCAATGCTAACCAGTCCTTGGTCGCTGCGTTGCTAGCAAGCGGCCCAGAGCACAAAGCCATTCTACGCCGCATGCCTTCGAAAGCATTGTGCTGGTATGTGCGGGTGAAAGCCGAACGGAGAGGTTGCGTGGCTTCATCAGGCACGCGTTCAGTCCAGCCAGTGCAGTCGGCGGCGATGTTTGAGGGTACAGGCTAGGATATCCCCCAACACTAGGCGGATTGTGTACAGAATGGGGGTCAAAACGTTTTAGATTGGCATTATTCTGGTGCTCAGCTTGGCTGCGCTTAGCTGCAACAACAGCCGTAACGTTGACTATGCACTGTTGCTTTCCAGCGAGGGGGTATGATCCCAAAGAACAATTCAGAGTGATTAGATATTACCGAGCCGAAAGGCCCAAAGTGCAGCGCACATGGTGATAGAGCTTAGCTGCGCTTTTCCTGGGAACAGGGGCGCTCTTGGGCAAGGCGTGCGGTGTGTGGGAGCGGGGAAAGACAGGGCTGTCGAGGGCAGAACTCAGGGTGGTGTCGACGGCAAGCTGGACCCCTCCCCACAATGGCAAGCCATTTGCAATGCGCCGGAAGCACAGAAGCAGGCAGCGCGGTGGCCGCCGTACTGACCTGAAATGTCCAAGGGAAGTGGCAGCCGGAGTCGCTTAAGGAGTAAAACCCGAAAAAGAGGCAGGCTCGGCGAAATTCGTGGGATGTGGGAAGCGCCATGGGGGCACAGGCCGCAAACGGGCCACCTCGCAGTGTCATTGACGGCTCGGGATGCTACGCCGCGCTGCCAGCCCAGGCCAGGAAGTTCATTTTCAGTGGCGGGTTCATGGCTGGACGAGCAAATCTTGCTCGGCGCATGCGAGAACGGGCACTGCAGAGGCCCAGTTCGCCATGCCGGAGGGCGAGATGCACTGGCGACAATATCTAGCAGATGGTTGCCCCAACTGCGCCAGGCAAAGCAGGACACTGCTCACAGATGCCCAGAGGCAAAGGGCAGGCGGCAAAGCCTTGAACACGTAGTGCGAGCAATAGCCACGCATAGCCACGTGACTTGGAGGTTTGGACCGATGGAAACACCTCAAGGAAAGCGCCATGCTGCGCAGAAAGAGTTTGAAGATACGCAGCAACCAATTCATCCGTGGGAGTTCCAAGTCCCAAGGACCAGCAGCCTTCAGGCGGCTAGCTAGCGTCCTTACCCAAGTGGACTCTATGTTGGGTAGAATAATGTCCCCTAGTAAAATACGGGCTCGATGCCGCGGGGTTCCACACACAGGGTTCCGCAGCAGTGAAACGAGTGCCAGCATCCTCGAGCAAGTGCACGTCGAGGCGCTGCAGGAGTGAACGTGACAGGTATAGATGTCAACGAGGAATGCTCGAATGCGTTTTCTTGGCAGTGTCTCGTCCTTGAGTCATGCAAGGCTGGGGCAAGGCCATGGGCAAACCGTGCAGTGTGCGCAGATCCCCCTGTTGCGGCTTTTGGAAGGTTAGAAATAATGCCGAGTACAGCTTTTGGAGCTTCTGAAAAGATAGGACGCGTGCAAATTTCGATATTTGAAGTTTTTGAAATGCTACGTTTTCTGAGAAAACAGGAAATTGCAAATACAGTGTTCGCGGCTCTTGAAAGGCTACGCGTGTTGTAAATTACAGCTTTGGGAGCTCTTGGAAAGTCAGGACCGTTCAAGTTCCAGACCTTGCGCCTCTTGGAAGAATAGGCATACAGCAAATAATAACTATTTTGAAATGCAAACTCATTTCGAAACAGATCGGGCAAAGGATTGCAAGAGGCTGCGTGTTCTGATTTTCGTCCACGTTTTGCAATTGGGGGGGTGCGCCCCCTACTTCGAAAATTAAAAAACAAATGGCTGCAAAAAGCTTGTGCGTTTTGAGCTCGACCAAGTTTTGCAAATGGCGCCCAACCCCCCCCCTGTTTCGTAATGCAAACTCGATGCAAAAACCAGAGCTGAGGTCTTCGTCGATGTTTTGCAAGTGGGGGGGTTGCGCCCCTTCCAATCCGCCCGCCATTGTGTGATGTTAGCAGGATGGAGAAACCATGACTGGTGGCAAGAAGGTAGTGTGTTTTGATTGTCGTCGATGGTTTGCAGATGGGGGGGGGCTGCGCCCCCTGCAGCCCCGCAGCCCCCCGCTATTTGGTAATGCAAACGCGATGCAAAAATCAACTTGTCAATGGTTGCAGGAAGCCAGTGTGTTCTGATCTTCGTCCATGTTCTGCACATGGGCTTGAGGGTTATAGGCGCCCCCAAGCCCCCTCGTATTTCGTAAGGCAAGCGCAATGCAAAATACAACCTATGAAAGGGTGCCAGAAGCGACGTGGTCTGATGTGTGTTCTGATCTTCGTCAACGTTCTTTGTGCAAATGGGGTTCAGCGTTTGCATTGCAAATGGGGCTTTTCACTTCTTTGGAATGCAAGGGCGCTGCTTAGCAAATCCGGGTGTGCAATGAACTCGTGTTCCCATATTTGTCCAACGTGCGATATCGTATCATTTTTGTGCAGGAAAATGCATTTTCTGCTCTTCCAAAAGGGCGGGCAGCGCCACCCCCAATCCCCTGCTATTTTGTAATAGCAGCACGCTGCTCGGGAGTCGTACCTGTTCCGGAAGCTAGATGCGGGATGCCAAGGTTTTTCGCAGACATCTTGCATGAAAGCCATCCAGTTTCTTGAGCTTTGCCTTGTTCAGCCAGGCTGTATGCAAACAATACAGCAGGTGTGAACCAACGCAAGTATCGAAAATCAGAATTTTCCGATGCTGCAGAATGTTATAGCATGCTTCCAAACCCTGTCCAGGTTTTTGAAATCACTCCGTGCCAGCCCACATCTCCGATTGAGCTCGGAACTCAC